AAACACAATGTTATTCTACTCTTGTTATTAATTCAAGATATTTTACACACAAATTACCATCTGTGTGCTTTTCAAGTTGTTTTTTCTTTATAAATCTGGCGAATGGAATGACAGTAATCCCCCACATCATAAAATACACGATCTATTCACGACATTTCTATAATTTGCTATTATATGCTCTGGACATGTTTGAAGACGAATGCCATGCAAATCATGGCTTAGCACAATATATCTCTCCAAACATCGCTGATCAAAGTGTCGAGATGAATGACAGCCTCGCAGTGAATGACAGCAAAATTAAAATACTGACGTCCTGAAGATAATCTGAAAATTTCTTAATGAGAGCTTATATAGGTGGCAGTCAGGTAAAATGTGACAATGGTATAATTTACAAATGATGTTCCCTAACCTAATTTTTGTCATTTAATTATTTGACTGTAAGCTTGGAAGAATGTGTTTAAATTTGTTGAAAAATAATCACATTAGTCGAACCTATACGATTCAATGACTTGGTTATAATATCAAAATAGTGCCTAGTACTCTAGCTTAATTCACAATATCACATTTGCTGGGTGAACCTAATAATCATTTACTCTAATTGTATAGTAGTACTCCTGTACTATTCTCTATTCGCCTTATCATCTATCGCAACTATTGATAGCAAAAAAATATCATGATCTTAGATATAAAAAAAATTATAAACTTATTACAAAAAGATTAAAAGTTGAAATCAAATAATCAGCATTGACTAAAGTATGTTATGATTTAATAGCTTTTTTAGATGGTTGAGTGAAAATTTTGATAAAAATGATATTTGTCATGATATTTGACATGATACCCTACAAATATCACAGCATTTATGAAATAAACCAATATATTTGTATGTACAATATATATACAGAAAGACGTTACTTTAGTTAATTGTGTACTATCTGATGTGGCAGGTCCTAATTAGATGAGAAAGCGTAAACTCGGAAACTAGAAGATGCCACAAAGCTGTTCCATCTTACTACAACATGCAAACTTTGAGATGTAATTTGACATGGCAAAATCTGCACAAATCTCTTTTGAAGACTGATTAAGGTTCACTTATCAGCATTTGCAAGCGGCAATTATTTCACAGGACTGAGTCACATCTTCCCCCAAACCATCTTACAATGAATAATATGATTCAAGTCATATAACAGACCCAAGCTTTTGTTTCAGCAATAAAAAACTGAATTTCTAAATGAGAATGTTCATAAAGTAGGCCACTTCTCATTAAAATTTTATAAACAAAAAAATCACAAATGGCGACACTAAAGTGTTATATCTTTATAAATAATGACTAGAACAAAATTAAAACATTTTCAAAAGATTATTTTCAATGACCGCTATAATATCGTCAGGAGAGTGTTGTTGATAATATCTTCTATTTACATAGGTCTAAGTGCTAAATGCATTTATCTTAACCATTTCATAATACAATACAACGTCATATACTTTTGTCACATTCAACTCCATTACAAATTGTCTATTAAATATTCATGTATGAAAATTAGAGCTGGCTTTCATAGAAAATGACGCTTCCACCTGCATTTTTTCTATTTAATTTCACTAAAAGAATAGTGTTTCTGAAGTATTAGTATTGGAACAGCTTCTATCAAGTTGCTTTGCTTAAATAAAAGATATTCAATCGTGTTCAATTTGATTACGTTTGCCATGGCTCCCACTTACCAGTTCAACAAATGTAACATTTATCAGAATTATCGAAAGTACAACCATATTACACTATACATATTTAATCATATAAAATTCTGGAATTTTTCACAAGCAGATATAAGTAACATTTGGCGGAGGCATCATTTCATTCACCACAGCTGCTGTTCTGTTTAATAGTTATTTCAATTTATGACGAAGAGTCATATTTCAACGTATTTATACAAAAGTTAAAATCTTTTTGTTCTTGAAAAAAAGTAAAGCATGTTTATCATTTAATTCATCATTCACTATGTCTTTTATGCAGAAGGGTGTGCTATATTAGTTGTGTTCATTAAAAAATGATGTTCTTCATGGCGTGTCTGTAGTCCGTCTGCTTAAAAAGAGGATTATGGGTAAAACAAAGCTTGAGTATACTGGATGTCAGGCATGCGGCCTTGCATGACTTAAATGATTTAAAGCCAGTTAAATATTCATAATTTTACTAGCACTGCAGCAGAAAACATGTGAAATGACAATTATATTCTATAAGCTCCAAGTGGCCTGATATAAAACAAAGACAAGCAGTTTACTCAGAATTTAATAACATAATTTACCCAGCACTGAAACTCTGTATAATTGAATAATGATGTCGCATAATGTATGAGGAATCCGGTTTATTTTTATCATCGCATGCAGCAGTGTGAATTCGCAGAAGACTGGATGCTTAAAGGCAACTTTCCTGAAAAATAATTCCTGTTTCTAGTATTTGTCTACAGCTTTAGTCAAACTCACTTAATATGTATAAGCCCTAGTCATTTACTTGGCATTAATGACATGGCATCCAAATATTTGCCTTATTCCGAAAGAGTTTTCCCATCCTTGGAGTGAAATATTACAGAGTAATGTTTTAATATGCAAAATAGAGTGAAATAAAGTGAAAATAACAAGGGAAGAAGCAAATAGGTATGAAGTACATACTCAAAATTATACAGAAATTCCAAAAAACTATGTACTTCATTCAAACTTTAAAGAGATATCGACATAAATTGAATAAAACAAAAGAGAAGTTTCAAAGCTGGGTGGAGCTATAATCACGGATTAGTGGCTCAGCAGTGAATAGCCCCGAGCTGGTGAAATCTTATTTCTTTTAAATTACGTCTTTGTTTCTAACTTTTCATTGAAGTGTGCATCACTAATACAGGGAAGGGGACACCCCCGCAGTATGTGATTAACAATAAAATGAAGACGTCATGATAAATGCAGTTCCTGTCAATAGTATTGTAAAAGCTGAAGAATGAACCAAAATGAGAACCTTCATCAGATTCCAGAAAAAATGTCTCCACGATGATCCACTGTTTTTAAATGTCATGGGATACTATAATGATGCAGGATATAAACAATTTGACCCTGAGGGGAAAATATGATATTCTCTTAAGTAGCATGTGAATAAAGTCTAACAGAATGCTATATATTGTATCTATTCACTTTGAAACATTATGTAACCAAGTACTGTGTCAACACACTTGTGCTTTTGAAGTCTATTTTTATATTTCCTTTCAGGTTTTCTGATGTTTTAATAAATGTGTATTTCAAGAGCTCTGCACTGAACATGTGTAATATGATAGTATTGTAAAAACACAGAGCACTAAAATATATAAGCCAGACAAGCTGATGTCATATAACAATTGATAGACAGTATCCTCTTAAAATTCATAATAAACCAAAGAGAATGAAAGCTGAATAAAAGGTTAAATGAGACCTACTAAAATTATCAATGTGAATTACAATGGATGGCATATTATTAATCTTAAGATGCTAGAATATGAGCGATATACGATTTATGTCTAACTCAAAAAACTGATCCTTTTCTTGCCTTAAGATATTTCAGTCTAAAACCCCGACTGTTTCACTTCCCTATTGTCTATTTTTGCAAGCGAGCTGAGAATGGATAAAAGGACATGCTAAACTGATTGTCATTCAAGATATCATGTGAAATCCACATCATTTTCCCACAAAGGGCTAACTAAAGCTCCATATCATTCACAATGAGACTGCGATTCTAACGCCTCGTCCTTATTTGGTAATACGTAATTGCTAAAGGTTGCGTTAACATAACGTGTTTAAGGTCTCTAGAGAGCTTTATCATTATATACCATTGTCTTCTCTTGTCATTGGTTCATGAAATACTACCATGTATTAAGTACTATTCTAGTCACGCATTTTCTACCACATTTCCTTTTAAAAATCAAACAAACTCTCCTATTTTTGTCATTTCGATATAATTTACTCAACACACATCACGACTGCTTACTTTATTTCTAGCTAATTCCAATCATTTTTACTTTATTTTTACTTTTATTAAAGCAAATCAATGCTTTTTTCCCAGGATTCCACTGACAGTATCTCTTACGGGACGCGTCTGTTGACAGTTTTTCTGAGTGATGATGACACTCTCAAAATCACATAATTTCCACAAAAAATGTGAAAAATCACCAGTGAGTCTTTTTTACTCACATGTTGACTTTCAGATCAATCTTATTCAAAGAGACGGATTTTATTTTTACTTTGTACCCAGATATCATTGCATTTATCAGGAGTGACACATTCAATTATAAAGATAGCCAAAGATATGGCACTGTATGTTATAATGTTGTCATAGTTTTTTATATAGATAACTGATGGCGGGATGTAACCCGCAACCCTCACACAAACATGTCATCATCATCTCTTTACCTCAATCCATATAGGCAGTCCTTTCATTATCCAGTCACAGTTTGGTGGGACTGCAACAACTGAGGTAAAATATGAGAGTATCACATGCACATAATAGAATCTGTACAATACTACACTACATATCCCCCACATACAATTTAATAACATTTCCAAACATAAAATCAAAATCGGCAAAGACAATAGGCGATATGGCCAAATATGAGGCATATAAGAATATATATAAAACTACGAATTGCATAAAAATACCAAACATTGAGGCAAAAGATTCAAAATAAAGTACGAAACCTATGAAACAAGCATTAAAAGGGTGCCACTGTAAACAAAGGTGCTTATAATACTGACAAATGTGAACCAAAGAATAGCTTGGATATTCATAATAAAGAGTTCCCAGAGAAATGCAAGAAATTAATATAATTCCACACAAATCAAGCTAGCTGCAATCAATCTAATTACAGCACAAAATACAACTCAAAATAATAGAAGTCAATGCTTTATTTCCTTGCTTTGTGATCAGAAATTTAGCAATATTCTCCAACCTTTACCAAAAGAATACCATTTAAACACACCAAACCACACCAGATAACATTTCTGGAAGTATTCATAGCTTGGCCTGATAGAAGTGATAGAAACTCACTTTTTGCATTGTTAAAATTCATCTTCTGACATGTTTTGATTGAGATCTCCGTGACCAACCAGAAATGGTTTCCAAGCAAGGGGCATGCATATAATGCTATCAGCTTATTCAACTGAGGCTTGATCATTAATTGGTTGCACAAACCAATTACAACCATTGTCTTATAGAGCAATAATAACATGATTATATTACCTAGTTTGGCTCTGTAAGCTGTCTCTATCTCTATAGAACAGAGAGATATGATAGCATATATTATATGCAGAACACATTTTGATTCTAGAAACATAATACATGTATGTATTTAGACCGTATTGACCATATATCACTCAATGTTATAAAAAAATCCCGATGTCTAATTGTTCCAATGATGTCAAGTACATATAGCTTTAGTTTATATGATTTCAAGTACATGATGGCAAGTAAGCAACCACCAGCTATCAGCATATACTGCAATATTAGAAGCAGCAATATTCTGTCAAGAAGAGCGTATAAGACTTTGGACGGGTACAGAGTTTCTTAATTATGTCTATGCACCAACGATAACTCAATTCCAGTATATAGTGTATACAGTGAAAATAACAAGCCACCGAATTGAAAGAAAATTATGTTAAATCCTCATCGTTTTGTGAGCTTTGGGAATCTAATTGAATAGGGAGGCAAATACAGAAGGCAGAAAGTCATCTAGTGTATTATTGAGAGATTAAGAGAATCAGGACACTTGGCAACTATAATATATCATCTAAAACTCTTTAAATAAGCGATAATCTAAGCCTATAAAACCTTGCATTTGGTAATCCATGATATTTTCCATATGCTTTAACATATATTAGTATTTCCATACATTAGTTAAAAAATTAGAATGGCTGGTGATCTGATTGGTTTAATCCCAAATCGTAAACTGATTAATTACGTCAGAGGGTAGTGTTCTAGCCCCAGGGTATAGAATCAAGCCTAACATCCAGCAATTGAGAGCTGAGCCCGTAAGTGACGCTATAAAATAATATCTGATAAATCATAGACATACTCCGAAGAACTTGATTTAATAGAATGAGAAGAAGTAGCCCATATTTGAACCGCTCTCCGTTCCAAACTATTCCTTGTCATTTCTCCGCAAAATTTAAATGAAATATTGAATTTTTAAATGTTATTGCAATTAGGAATATACTCTTCATGCTTACAGGTTTTATTTCTTAGAAACTCTACTTTATTCTCTATTAATTAACATATGAAATCAAGATAATTGATGGAATTATTTCCCGGATGAAGAATAGTAGCGATGATGTATGAATATAGTGAACTGTCAGCTACCTGCCT